GCGAAGCAGGCAATGCTCAACTGTTTCGTTGGCACTGCCAAGTATACTGCAAGCATGATGCAGGATGAGGAGAGTGGAGTGATCGTGGATGGATGTGTTGACTTGGCTATCGCAGACTGTGACAGCTTTGTAGTGTGCAGTTGCACTGCCACTGGTCACTTTCATTGGAATAAATCAGGCAGTGTCTTAGCCTAATAAATCAGGCAGGAGTCTTAGCCTATCCGCTATTATTGCAGGGGAACGGAATGTACAGTTAAAGGGACCCTCCCACCTTCAAAAAGTTTATGAATTGACATGAAAGTGATGTCGCTCGGCTCAGAAAGAGCGAAAACGAATGTCTACCAAATTTCACCGAAAAATATTCACTGGTTTTCAAGATATTAGACTTTTACTTTTGTTTACTTTTTGGGATCTCCGCTGTTCCTAGCGACTTTATTTGGAAGCATTAGTTTGGCAGCTGAAAGTGCGGCACTTGTTGCGCGCAAAGCAGCATATACCACCGCGTGCTACAAAACGTTTTAGTCAAACATTTAAAAATCGTTAGATATCTGCGCTGACGTCACACATTCAGAGGGGTATTCCTATAGCTGAATCGCCCCTCTGAATCAAAATGCTGCAATTTTGAAATTCAATATTTCCGATTTAAGGCATTTCTCGATGTTGTAAGTGCCGAAACCGGTAATTGTGAGCCAGGGACCCCATTTTGGCTATCTCAACTCAAATCTAATGTTAAAGGTAGTGTGCCACCTTTGAAAGATTTCCCATCTTATTTTTCCTAGGATAAGAAGAGAAGAGGGAGGCGGGGAGGCGGGGTGCCGCCTCCACATGTTTATTTTTGTTGATAGCTGCGAGAGCTGAAATTTGGCAAGCCTGACTTTTGATTTAAGCTGAATTTTTATGACAGCAGCTGTATTTTCACCCTCGCCCATATTGGTGTTTTGCCAGCGTCTATCGTAAAGGTGGGAGGAGGGTCCGTTGGACCCGTTTGCCGTTCAGCCCCTGATCGAGCTAGAGCTTCGCGGAAAAAGAGCGTGCTGCCCGTGACGATAGGAGGCCGATGATACCCAATTTTAAGGTCGTAGGTCATTGGTTGACAGGTCAATATAACTCAAAAGTCGGGGAATCGGGACCTGTTAGAGCTTCGTAAAGTGAAGCTGTTATAAGGTTTTGCGGGTTGCTGATCACCATTTTCAAGTTAGTTTTGATCACAGATGATGTTTTCGTGCATTTAGGCCAGGTCGGGTCAGGTCAGGTCAGGTCACATGCTACGAGGGAACCAAAACTACTTCATAAATGTTCAAACGGTTTCTAAATGCGAAATCAACTCCAAAATCTACCCTAGAAACATGTAGAACTCGTTAGAGTGAACAAAGTCATCAAAGGTCAGTGACCTGACTGACCTTCACGTGACCTTGACACCCACTAGAATCCATGGGATCAACATCCTTTCACATGCTTGATCGCTTAAAGCCACAAAAAGACAATAAAACGCGCTCTTCTCGAAATACGCCAAAACGCGATTCCGGCCAAACATGGTCTCGGAAAACAGGTCACAAGTCAAAGGTCTTTTGAGTCAGGGTCATACAAATTATAGGGTAGGCGTAATCAGGGCACTAAAGAGTCGGCGTGATATTTATTAACTCGAGGGTACTGGAAGCTTCGTCGCAATCAGTCGCTTTTTGCGCGAGCTATTTGCGAAAAACTGAGGGTAAGAGGTCTGTTCGACACCCTCCTACAAGTGCGAAGGTTAAAGTGACCATCCCACCTTAACATTAGTTTTGAGTTGAGATAGCCAAATTGGTGGCCATGGCCTGCAAATACCGGTTTGGGCACTCACAACATCGAAAAATGCTTTAATTCGGAGATATGGAATTTCAAACTTGCAGTTTTCGGATTCTAAGGGGCTAATGCATTGGTATGCCCCTTAGAATTTGTGACGTCAGAGGAGATCTAACGATTTTTAAATCTTTTATTAAAACGTTTGGTAGCACGCGGTGGTATATGCTACTTTGCGCGCAACAAATGCCGCACTTTCAAATAAAGTCGCTAGGAACAGCGGAGATCCCAAAAAGTAAACAAAATTAAAAGTCTAATATTTTGAAACCAGTGAATATTTTTCGATGAAATTTGGTAGATATTCGTTTTCGCTCTTTCTGAACCGAGCGACATCACTTTCATGCCAATTCATTAACTTTTTTGAAGGTGGGAGGGTCCCTTTAAGGTCAGGCCGTTGACCAATGACGTCAAAAGTGAACCTCTGTCGGTCCCAAAATGTCGCGACGTCGCAGCACCCTTCGTGCCAGGGGACTTTTCAACGGGGAATGAAGCTTATATGATCTAGTACTATCTCCCAGAGGCCTCACAACTTGTATGTAGCTATCTCGTATTTTTCTCAAGAGTCACCTGAAGTCAGGTCGGTCACGCAACCTCACGATTATTAATCAATTGGGAAATATGAAAGCTGTCATTTTGGCGCCGGGAGCCATCTAAAGTTGTCTCAAGCGCATTAATTCGCAATTTTATACAATCTTTGCAAGCCCCAGCGGCCAGCATTCACTTTTCCATTCTTAAAGTTAGGCGACTTCATTTATGACGTCACTAAGGTCACAGGAGTTTTCACCAAAAAGTCCCGATCAAATTGAGCTAGCGAGTCGGGAAGCCACCAGTGGACTTGTGAGGACCTACCGAATCTAAGAAGCGATATGACCTCCTTGGACCAGCTTCGTGGCCTGAGTGGCTCTGCCCTGACCATGACCTGATGTGAACACCTTAAATTGACCTCAACAAAAACAAAGCGTATACTATTCGACGCGCTTGAGCATGCAAAACTCGATGGTGCCATTATCTTGGCTCTGTTACCACTTATGGTGGTTGTTTACCAAAAACCGGTCCCGCGATTTGGAGCACTTATACTGACCACATAGTTTATCGGTTGCCCTGAGACATTCAACTCGGGTACCAGTTGCTGCATCTCATACGACGCACGCGCTCAGTTTTATCCGCAAGGCGCTAGCTCAATTAGGGGCAAAAAGACGGAGAGAGGTCGTAATCGCCCCCCCCCCCTCGGCCGGGGTATATGCAGAAAACCCAAAGATCCGTTGAGGGTTAAGCACTGAAGTTATATATTATGATGTGAGAAGGTATAGGTCAAAACGAGCATGCACACGAGCGGGTGTGAATAAAACTTTACTATACATTCGATTTGCTTTAGTTATTGTTAACAACAGATACAACCAAGAAGAGTGCCCTGCGCCCCTGAAGAAAAGGTGGCGCACCGGACGGGTGCGGTTTGAACCCTCGCCGGCACAGGCCATTTTGCGTCCTTCGACGGCACAAGGGGGGATTGGTACGACCCCCCCCCCTTCGCGTTTGGCCCCTGATCGAGCTAGAGCTTCGCGGAAAAAAACGAGCGTGTTGCCCGTCACGAGAGGAAGCCGATGAGACCCAATTTTAAGGTCCTAGGTCATCGGGTGACCTTCCAGGACAGGTCAATGACCCGAAAACCGGGAAAATCGGGACCTGTTAGAAAATCGTAAAGTGTGGCTGATATGTGGTTTTCCGGGGTGCTGATCACGAATATCGTGTTAGTTTTGATCAGAGATGATGTCTTTAAGCATTTAGACCAAGTCAGGTCAGGTCAACCGGTAGGGGTTGTGACGGGTATTCGTAATACGTGTCAACCGCCTCTGACAGCTTCGTAATATGTTACGAAGGCACCAAAACTACTTCGTAAATGTTCAAATGGCTGCTAAATTCGAATTCAGCTCCAAAAACTATCCTAGAAACATGTAAAACTCCAAAAAGTGAACCGAGGTCACCCGAGGTCACCAAAGGTCAATGACCTGACCTGACCTTCAAGTGACCTTGACACCCACCCTAATGTATGGGAGCAACATCAAATCACATGTTTGAAAGTTTGAAATAACGAAAAGCTTGCAAACGCGCGGCTAATGCGAGCCGACATACGCCGAATAGCGATTCCGGCCAAACATGGTCTCGGAAAAGAGGTCACAGGCCAAAGGTCATTTGGGTCAGGGTCATGAAATTTTTAGGGTAGGTGTAAAATTGATCAATGCTAGGGTACTGAAAGTTTCGTCGCGATCAGCCGCTTTTTACGCGAGTAATTGGCGAAACACCTTGGGGGTTGCATCACCCCCCCCCCCCCTGTGCCGGCGAGGGTTAGGGTCTAAGGTCAGTCGGGGTCCTCTAAGTTCGGATCAAGCACTGCATGTTAGGTGTAAAAAATGGGGACAAAAAAGCATCCCGGTTTTGGCAGCATCGTCATGCTTTGTCACGGCACTCATCCACTCCCTCGGCCGAAATATTATTGCATTTTTGTATGAGTTCTGGCATAATCCCGCCCATTATGCTGCATGTTGTTTGCTATGAAAAAAAACAATGCAAGTTCACCTACGTTCTATGCAGTACACACTAACCTAACCACCATCCTATCATCCACCACTAGCCACCATCCCGTTCTGTGCTCCCTTCCACCCCACACGAATCGGCCGAGATACTAGTCAGTCGGGCTAGCGCTATCCTATCCTCCCTTCCTGACTGCACAGCGCTAAAACCCAGAGCCGAGACTTCCCGAGCGCGACCTCTGACCCGACGTGGTCCGAAGGGTCGGCCGATGCCTAAGGGCGCGCCGCGCGCCGGCCACCCGGATAGCCTCTGCCGAGTCTCCCTTTCATACACCGTTTACTACGCGCTCGATTCATTCATGATTCTGTGTTTCCGCGTTCCTGTCGTTAGATGGCTCTACTGATGTCATAGGCGATCCCAGGAAGATTGCGGCCAGAATACCCCAAACGGCAGAAAATGAGGCTTTTGGTGAATATCTCGGAAAGTATTTGGCATACAACGATGCAATTTCACAGTCTCGTGGTAAATGCGCATACACATAATTCGGGTTGAGACTTATGCATTTGAACATTATATAGGACCAGATATGTCCGAAAAAGCAAAACCAACAAGACTTTTACTGGAGAACCGTACGTTATGCCACAACTGCTGTTTGGTGTAAACCATTGATGTATTCTGTATAGTTGGGATGGGGTTGAAAAATGTTAATTGTTTACAGTGCTTTTTAGGACATTTTATGTCATTATTTAGTTTTAGTTCCTAAATGTCCATTCACAGGAAAAGACAAGGTCATTTTTCTCACCAAAGAAGATTATGAGAAGCCAAGTACAATTGAACTGGAGGAGGAGGAGCAGCCAACAGGTAGGGGCATATGGTCAAAGCAGGGTTTGGACCAGTCAGTGTTTGGGCCAATGAACCTCTTTTGTTTTTGTGTAGATAAATAAGTTTACAAAGATATATTTCAAACAGGCTTTTTCAAACAAGTTTGAACCCGTGCCCTGGTGGGGGGCTATTTTTTTACCCGCTCTCCAGACTTTTCGTATCTCTAGAGTTTCTGCGCCGATCGTCACCAAACTTTCAGTGCCCTCCTGGGCATCAATTTTACACATTGTGACCAAATAAATTTCTAAAGGCTATGATAGGTTGGCTGTAAATGACGTCAGAGTGACGTCATGTTCTGTCGTTTTCGACCCCCCCCCAAAAAAAAAAAATGTTTCGCCGGAAGAGCCAGGAAGAGCTGAGGCATTCCACGATAGATCGTACCACTTTTTTCCAATTTGACACCCTCATCTCTCGGATTTTGACAAGAATTGGTCTCAGGGGTGATCAGGGCGCTGAATCCACCTGTAACAATTTCAGGCTTATCAGATAATTATTTTTTGAGTTATGGTGTATAACATTTTTTGGATCTTGCTTTGCAGCGCTAAGTTTGGCGGGCTGTAACACTAAGACGGATTATTCAAATGCCAAATGTTATATAACATTGAACTTGCAATGAAACAGATATTAATATGTATTTTTGAAATTTTGAAAAATGCGCTTTTTTGATAATTATTGACATATCGAGTTTTCTTTCATTTGTATATTTGAAACTTTGGGACAAAATGTTTTGGAATTTTTATTTCTTTTAAAAGATATTTGGCTCATTTTTAAGAAGTATGCAAAAAATTAGGAAGGTGTTCTTTCTATAAATGGATTTATTTTGCACCACGATAACGGTCTCGAATAGTGATTTCGGGAGGGGAGCTTACAAATGGCTTGGTAACGCTGCCTAGTGACATCACGGGCTACCGATATTTCAATTGAAGTCTGAATCATCTAAAAAATGAAAAGAGGGTTCATCCAAACCTCTTTCCTATAAGCGCGAGAGTGAAAAAGGCTGCTTGGTTCTGACATTGTTTTGGACGCCAATGACCATAGCTGTCCGAGATGAAAGTTACAGGACGCATACATGGTGTCCTCCAGAGGTCTCACAACTTGTATATCTGGGAATTTTTGAAGGTCACATGAGTCACGTGACATCACTGTTATAAGTCAATGGGGAAATATAAAATATGTTATTTTGGCGCCGAGAATGATATAAAACTATCTCACGTACATGGTATCATGATTTCATGCACTCCTTGCAAAGTCCAATGCTTCACTTTTGCATTATTAGCCTTGCGTGACGTCATTTATGACGTCACTAGGGTCGTACGAGTTTTTCGTCAATAACTCCCGATCAAATTGAGCTAGAGAGTCGGGAAAGCCACCAATGGACTCGAGAAGACCTTCCGAATCAAATGATATGCCATATGATACCCTTTGCCCAGCTTCGTGACCTGAGGGGCTCTGACCTGACCTTGACCCGAGGTCAACCACTTAAGTTGACCTCACCCTGACAAAAAGTATACCATTCGACGCATCTGAGCTAGACGAACACAATGATAACAAAATCGCGGCTCTGCGGCCATTTTTTGCGAAGTTATTTACTAAAAACCGAACCCGTAACTTCAGTCACTTGACCTGACCTAAGACGCTACCAGTTAACCTGAGACCTTAAAATTGGGTACCAATCGCTGCGACTTGTAACGGCACACACGCTCGTTTTTTCCGCGAGGCTCTACCTCTATTAGAAGGGAAACGGCGTTCTGGGGTCGTATCAACCCCTCCGAAACCCATTTTGTTTGCGGAAAAATGAGGAACTTATAGAAAGAACACCTTTCTAATTTTGTGCATGTCGACTTGCAATGAGATGAAGTTTATTTTGAAAAAAAAATAAAAATGTGAAAAAGTTTGGTCCCAAAAGTCATTAGAGGCAAATGGGAAAAGATTAAGGTTTTTGTTCAACAATCAAAATTTTTCTTTAGAATTTTTAAAAAGTAATATCAATTTTTGGTTCATCGCAAGCTTAGTGTTGTTTCCCGTTTGTTGGTTGCATAACCCGTTATTGAGTTATAGGCCATCAAACTCACCGTTACAAACCGAAGTTAAAAAAATATAATGCAATATAACTCAAAAAGTTTTGATCTGAGAAGTCTGATATTTTGCCAGGCGTCTTTGGGGCCTATGATTACCCCTAGGACCGATTTTCATTAAAATCTGAGAGATGAGGGTGACGGGCCTGGTATGATCTATCGTGGAATGCCCCAGCTGTCAGGCCTAAAGCTATGAAGATACAGAAAAACGTTTAAGACATAAAGGATGTAGAATTACCAGGGCTACAAAACTGCTATCTCGAAATTTTTAATTTTTTGGATTTCGACCCCCAAAAATCAAAAATATTTTTGAATATGATTGCCAAAAAATCCAGTTTTTCGATTTTGGAAAAAAACTGAATATGTGATAGCTCTTACCGACCCCTATTCACTTACCAAATTTTAGATCGATATTCTTTTTTCTGGCCAAGTTATAGGGAAAAAAACTGATGACTTCAAATTTTCAAACTCAATTTTTAGCAATTTTAGACCACGTAGCCCAAAACAAAGACTAGCATTAGACTCGCGGTGACGACCTATACCCATGACCGGCAAAACATTTTATTTTTGACGTGACCTGTGACGTCATCGGTGACCCTGAGCCCTGAGGTCAATGAAATTGGAGCTCTTTCGACAAATTTCACAGGGCTTTCGAACGCCGTTTGAATTTTGCGGATTCGTCCAGCAGCTTGGTAGATACGGGGGGGAATAGCCCCCCCCCCCCACCAGGTCGCGTTATGAACAGACCCCACCAGGGCGCCGGTTAAGATGTTATTGCTAAGCAGTTGGTGGGTGGGCTCATGTAACTGATTATTTTTTGTTTCTTTATAATGATACTGAGGTTCTATGCATCTACATAGTTTTAGAATGTTTTATTCATTTAGCTGTTTTTCAGATACTTTGCATATTGATTTGATTAAGAACTTGCTTACTCACAAATAGTTCAGTTATCAAGGCGATTGTGTAATGTTCTCAATGTGGAAAATATGAAATGCAGGTTGTCCCAAAAGTCTTGCAACACCCATTTTCCTGCTGATATACATACATGTATCGATATATCATGTCAGCGGTCTATCGATTGCCTTATCGTTGCAATAGGTTGAAAGCACTGCTCTTCACTCAGATCATTCACGAATGTTGCCACGACACATGACCGACCTTGCTAACTGCGACTGCTGGCTGGCCCTGATGCAGCTCAGCCTCACCGAACGGGTTGCTCTGCCAGATAATGTGAGTTTACTTGCTGTTGGATTACTGAACACAGTTGTGACTCAGGAGGATGTCGCTTAAAGGGACTGTCCCACCTTTGCATTAGTTCTGAGTTGAGATAGCCAAGTTGGCGGCCATGTTCAGAAACCACTAATATATCCTGGTCGCAATATCCTCAGTTTCGTGGTGTTAAAGAAATTCGTTCCCTTCATTTGAAAAGTGGGCCTTACCTAAGGCCCTATCTCTCAACTATTAACGGCCATTTGATGACGTCATTACTCATTTGCCTTTTGAACGCCTGTCACACATTCAAGTGAAGTAGGTATCACTTGATTTACGAATAAGCCAATCAGAGACACTCTTGTTATTGTATGAGCCGCGTCATATTTTAGAGCAAATATATTTGCTGCCAAATTTCCCCTCACATTGACATGAAGTAAATCCTTCATTACGTCACAGATTCGATATAAATGACGTCACGATGAAATATGAAAGTCGCAATATCTCAAAAAATATACGATGAAAACGCGTAAAAACTTGCAGAATTCGTCAAAATATCATGAGTAACATTTCCGAATCCTAAACGGTACTTTTTTGAAGGTGGGATAGCCCCTTTAAAGGGACCCTCCCACCTTCAAAAAAGTTAATGAATTGGCACGAAAGTGATGTCGCTCGGTTCAGAAAGAGCGAAAACGAATATCTACCAAATTTCATCGAAAAATATTCACCGGTTTTCAAGATATTAGACTTTTACTTTTGTTTACTTTTTGGGATCTCCGCTGTTCCTAGCGACTTTATTTGAAAGTGCGGCATTTGTTGCGCGCAAAGCAGCATATACCACCGCGTGCTACCAAACGTTTTAGTAAAAGATTTAAAAATCGTAAGATCTCCGCTGACGTCACAAATTCTAAGGGGGCATACCAATGCACTAGCCCCTTAGAATCCGAAAACTGCAAGTTTGAAATTCCATACCTCCGAATTAAAGCATTTGTCGATGTTGTGAGTGCCCAAACCGGTATTTGCAGGCCATGGCCACCAATTTGGCTATCTCAACTCAAAACTAATGTTAAGGTGGGATAGTCCCTTTAACAGTTCGAAGTATATCGAGCTACTGTCATTTGGTAGCGACAACGCTTTTTTCTAGGGAAAATCATTGACCAATAAAGAGTGCTCCGTCCGGCCATCTAGTTATCGTGCCCTGAGTCTTCAAGATGGTTTGTGCCAAGGCCCTATATACCTACCAGGTAGGGTCTTCCGGCGATTCTACCTGATCGTGACGTCAGCTCGTGACGTCATCTGGGGGCAAGTCTTGTCTTGTTAAAGTCCTATGCAAATGGGCGATTTTTGAAGCGCTGTAGAACAAACTCTGCTAGCTAGCACAAAACTAAGTGCATCATCGGAAAGACGAGACATTTTTCTTTAAATTATCTTGAAACGTTTTTTTCACTAAACCCATTAGTTTTTCCAAAAATGCGTAAAAAAGCCCCCATGCCTCCGCAGCCTCCCTTCCGCCGGCCGCCACGCCGCCGCGGTAGTGTAGTGGTTAGGATACTTGTGCCACAATCCAAAGATCGTGCGTTCGAATCTAGGCGCGGGTCGTAGGTACTTAAAGGGACTATCCCACCTTCTAAAATGTTGTTAAAACCAGTTAAATTGTGCCCGACTTTATAGATTGGATGACTAGGAACACGGTTCTGGCATTTATTTTTCATTTAACATCTTAGGCTTCCCATATTCCAAACACAAACTTTCAAATATGTGACGTCACAGCCCAAAATTACCTCCTTCCCCAGGCCACATTACTGTCATAAAGCTGATTCTTTTTACTCTGTAGGCACCACAACAAAGTTCAGACCAAGTTTTAAGCGATTTTTCAACGAACAAACCCATTTAAATCAGAATGACTAAACGAGGTGACGTCACACTAACGGTCGCTCCATGTTGAAGATAGGGCCTTGTACAAGGCCCATTTTCAAATGAAGGGAACGAATTTCTTCAACACCAAGAGGCCGCGGGGGTTGCAACCTAGATAGATAGTGGTTTCTGAACCTCGCCGCAAACTTGGCTATCTCAACTCAAACCCCATGTTAAAGGTGGGATAGTTTTTTTTTTCTACACCGCCACCCATGAACAGGTGACCAGGAGTGCCCCCTCCCTCTATCCCAGCGACACACAGAACCTTACGTTAACACCAATGAACTTAAAATGCTAAGTCGCGGCACTCCCAGCTAAGAGTAAGGAAAAAAACAAAAAATGCAAAAAACGAGAGAAATATCAGTGGAGTATGCATGCTGTTAATATAGTAGCTTAAGAGAAGCAAAGTAGTCACAACTGAAAACAGTTGGTGACTGCCCTTCTACGCCTGAAACGCCCACTGATGCACAATTACACAGGGTATTGTTAGTGGGAGGAAGGGATTAGAGGGGGAGCAGTCATACATACATGGAAGATGGTCGTAGATGGTCATTTCTGGTCAAATTCAAGCAAGGTCATTCACTGAGCCTCTGTAAAGCTGTCCAACTAAGCAGAGCTTGTTGTCAGACAGCCCACAGAGGCCAGTTCCGAGGTGGTTGGAGTAGAAAATTAATGCAATTTAAGCAATATAACGAAAATGAGAGGTAACATCAACGAGAGAAAAAAAAACGGAGAAGGAATACAGTTGGGAAGGAAAGACGGGCAAGAGAACTACTACCCTACAATAAACGTGGTTTTAATGTTTGACGGCCAGACGGGCCGCGAGCCCCCGCCCGCACCCCCGGAAAATCATCTTTCCCGGGGGTGCCCCCTAACCACCGCCCGGGCGAGGGGAGCGCCGACCCGACCCGGCCGGCACCGGGTGCGTATTATTTAGGCCAGGGTTCATAATGTCCAGGGCACAACGTGTCCAGTGCTCGAAATGGCCAGTGCCCTGAACTGGCCCGTGTTCACACTGTCCAGGGATTACTTGGTCCAAATGCGGCCAACTGGCTGCAGATAGGGTAAATTCAAAGACCGGCCGAATAGTCCCTTTAAATCGAAATTGCAAGCAGAATATGTGTTTTGTCTTGAGAAATCACTTATATTACAGCCAACCGTTCATAAAACTATCGATAACAATTGACTGAAACCCAAAATATAGAATGCATTCTCATGAAACAAATTCAAATATTGCGGCTGTTGCGCTAGGCTCCGCCCCCGACTCCGCCCCTTCGTGTGACGTCATCTGTGCTATTGGACACACAGGGAGATAGGGGACGACATGGGCCTGGTTTGTGCTAAGGCTGCAGGCTAAAGAAGATAATGCATGAAGAGATGGACAATGAATATGATGAGAAAAGGTTACGCGGTGCGCTTCCTCGTGGGGTGACATTAGGGAAGAGTTTTAAAATCCAAGCTGCATTGCGGCATTTGCGGTAATATGCGGCGCGTATGCCGCATTGTTTGTAAACTGCGACCACTAAATTAAAAACGAGTCATCCGCATTACTAATCCCTCGAAGGACGTTTATAAGCCTAAAGTCTGACATAATCAAAACTTATGGTTGACTAAAGTCTGACATAATCAAAACTTATGGTATTCATCTTTATATGTCATCTCTTATTTTCTGTAACTGCTTTCTCATATACCATCTCAGAGATATCTAACCTTTTTAATGAATGACACTTCATGCCTAAAATGCTCTCGTTATAAGATTCTCAGGTTGAAATTTACTAGTTTACGTTCACCACAACCTACTTTTTCCTGCAGCGGGACACTAAGGAAGACTCAGCCGACTACAGCGGGGCATTATGGGTTTCAGCCGGCTCCAGCGGGACAAAGTCGGACTCAGACGGTGGGACAAAATGAAACTCAGCCGGTCCCAGCGGGACACAGTGGGATTCGGCCGGTCCCAGCGGGACACAATAGGACTCGGTCACTCGTAAGGTCCCAGCGGGACATAGTGGGACTCAGCCGACTACAGCGGGACACAATGGGACTCGGATGGATTTTAGATCAATACATACATACATACATACTCGGCCGCTCCCAGCGGAGCAAAATGGAGATCAGCCGTTCCCAGCGGGACAAAGTGGGACTCAGCCGACTACAGTAGGACAAATTGGGACTCAGCCGACTACAGCGGGACATAGTGGGACTTAGCCGGCTCCAGCGGGACAAAGTCGGAATCAGCCGGTCCCAGCGGAGCACAATGGGACGCGGCCGGTCCCAGCAAGACATAGTGGGGCTTGTGGGACTTATCCGGCTCCAGCGAGACAAAGTCGGACTCAGCCGGTCCCAGCGGAACATAATGGGACTCGACCGGTCCAAGCAGGACATAGTGGGGCTCAGCCGACCGTACCGCGGGACATTGTGGGACTCATCCGACTGCAGCGGGACAAAGTGAGACTCAGTCGACTACAGGGGGACATAGTGTGCTGAGTCTATGTCCCGCTGGGACCGGCGGAGTCCCACTGTGTCCCGCTGGAACCGGCTGAGTCCGACTTTGTCCCGCTGGAGCCGGCTAAGTCCAACTATGTCCGCTGTAGTCGGTTGAGTCCCAATTTGTCCCACTGTAGTCGGCTGAGTCCCACGTTGTCCCACTGGGACCGGCTGAGCCCCACTTTATCCCGCTGAGATCGGACGAGTCCCACTACGTCCCGCTGTAGTCGGCTAAGTCCCACTATGCCCCCGCGGTAGTCGGCTGAGTCCCACTTTATCCCGTTGGGACCGGCCGAGTCCCATTGTGTCCCGCTATAGTCGGCTGGGTCCCAATTTGTCCCGCTGGGACCGGCCGAGTCCCATTGTGTCCCGCTGTGGTCGGCTGGGTCCCAATTTGTCCCGCTAAACCCGCTGAGTCCCACTATGTCCCGCAGCAGTCGGCTGAGTCCCACTATGTCGGATGTCCCGCTGGGACCTTACGAGTGACCGAGTCCCATTGTGCCCCGCTGTAGTCGGCTGAGTCTTCGTTTGTCCAGCTGTAGGAAAAAGTAGGTTGTGGTGAACGTAAATTAGTAAATTTCAACCTGAGAATCTTATAACGAGAGCATTTTAGGCATGAAGTGTTAATTGTTATTCATTCAAAAGAAGGTTAGATATCTCTGAGATGGTATATGAGAAAGCAGTTACTGAAAATAAGAGATAACATCATAAAGATGAATACCATAAGTTTTGGTTATGTCAGACTTTAGGCTTGTAAGCGTTCTTCGAGGGACTACTTATGAGGATAATACGTTGTTAATTTAGTGGTCGCAGTTAACAAACAATGCGGCATACACGCCGCATATTACCGCAAATGCCGCAATGCAGCTTAGATTTTAAAACTCTCTTCTAATGTCACCCTTCCTCGTGTCATGACGCAGGTATAGCGATTTCGGTCATGCTAGACAGAAAAATAACCAAAAAACAAAACAACAACAATAACAACAGCCGTTTTCACGACGGCTATCTGGCGAATGCTCCTAATTTGACCAAATCTGCACCAAATCTCTATTACACTAGATATATTCGTATCATGAATTAAAGGGACCCTCCCACCTTCAAAAAAGTTAATGAATTGGCATGAAAGTGATGTCGCTCGGTTCAGAAAGAGCGAAAACGAATATCTACCAAATTTCACCGAAAAATACTCACCGGTTTTCAAGATATTAGACTTTTACTTTTGTTTACTTTTTGGGATCCTCGCTGTTCCTAGCGACTTTATTTGGAAGCAATAGTTTGGCAGCTGAAAGTGCGGCACTTCTTGCGCGCAAAGCAGCATATACCACCGCGTGCTACGGAACGTTTTAGTCAAACATTTAAAAATCGTTAGATCTGCGCTGACGTCACACATTCAGAGGGGTATTCAAAAGCATTAGCCCCTCTGAATCAAAATGCGGCAATTTTGAAATTCAATATTTCCGATTTAAGGCATTTCTCGATGTTGTGAGTGCCGAAACCGGTAATTGTGAGCCAGGGACCCCATTTTGGCTAAGGTTAAGGGTGGGAGGATCCCTTTAACTACAAAATGATGTTCCACCTCTTCCACCTCAACTTATCAGTCGAGTGAAACACTAGTCCCTGCCGCCTATCACACAATTAATTGTATTTGTGCCTATGGTGAGGATTGGGTCGCAGCATTCAACTGTGTCACTCATTGTGCGTGGTGCGGCACAGCCTACCATCCCAGGCGACTGATTGTTAAAAGTGGAACATCATTATGGAGTCAACTGTAGTGCTGCGAATGCGATACATATTTTTGTAATGAAAATTACTGCTCCAGTTAATAAAGCCATCGCTTAATAAATCCAAAACATTGTGTAACCAAGGTGGATTTATTTAGCGGATTTCTACTGTAGGTATTCGCGAAAAACCTGAAGGGAGGGGGAACGTGAAAACGCCCAGCCCGGCGCGGGTTAACAGTGTCTCAGCTGAACAGCTGAAGGGATGGGGGTTTCTGGCTCCAGCGATGTGCCTCGATAAATCTTAATGACTTCTTATGTGATATTTAGCCAAATATTTTGTTTAGTTTTTAATACATGGTATGCGTTCCCGTGTCGGATTAAAAACCTCAGTTTTTTCTTAATGGGTGCTTTTTGTACGGTGCTCCCCTACTTTTAGTTTTCAATTCAATTCAAATCAATTCAGTTCAAAAGCATATTCTTTGTTCAACAAGTAAGTTTGTACCGATTCAGTTTGTATGTGCAGATGTAGACGAATGTTCCAAAATTGTAGTGCAAACATAAAATGTTGTCGACGTGCACTATTCTTTTCAATGCCAAAACTGGCATTTAATGGAAAATAAATTATTAATAAAGTAGAAATACTATAGGAGAAACAATATCATGGAAAAGTGTTTGAAATTGATCCATGGGGCTTCGTGCATACGCTCGTGCAAAGTGCATCACTGCATACATTTTCAACACAATTGTGTTCCCCTTAAGGGAACATAATTGTCCACCGTATCCTCCCTTAAAGGTAGTGTGCCACCTTTGAAAGATTTCCCATTTTATTTTTCCCAGGATAAGAAGCTTCTGTTTTTACCTAATATCGCAAAAAAAAATCAAAAATGGGCCTGGAATAGTGCCTTTTTCGCCTAAAAGTTTATCGGTTTTTAGATATGTATAACAACTGTAGTGGGCTCACCTGCAAACAGGCGTCGGGCAACAATCGCGAATGCGGCGCACTTGTGACAATAAGCAAAGGTCATTATAGTGTTACGACCATACGACGTACGGGAATGAGTTATCAGCTGTCTAATCGTAGACAACACAATGTCGAGCCTTAAACTGTAAGCTCGTATTGGTATTGTTTCTTTTATTTGGCTGTCGAACATTATTTATGGTTTGAAATATGATTTTATATAAAATAATTGATATGATAAAGCCGTCTTATCAGTTATGACCCCATTTCACCACACGCAAGTGGCAGAAATGACAAGATCAGCTGACGCATTTTTCTTGGCCGAAGTCAGAGCGCGCAGCCCGACGCACCACCACCGCACCACAAAGTATGAGCAGAAGCCGCGCCCAAAGCCAGGGCCCCGGTAACGTGAGGTAGCCGAGTCGGCGGCCCCGGGCTATCACATGACACCGGGAGGACGCGCGGCTCCGGCTTGGGTCAGCGCACGCTGCCCTGACTCGGCTACCTCACGTTACCGGGGCCCTGGCTTTGGGCGTGGTCTACCGCACCACCTAACAGGAGTGTTCGAAACCGCAGGAGCTGATGATGAACGGGTTTATCGAAACTTGATTGGATGAGCATATCGGTAATAGCGATTTCAGTGTGTGCATTTATTGTTCATAGTGGTGTGAAATGTGGTTGGGGTACGACCGACAACCCGTCGGGGCGAATTTCGCACTGGGGTACTCAAAATTTGAAGAATTTAAGACGTTTCCATGAGTTTTGAAGGTATGGATAAGTATATTCTAAAAATCCGGTTCTCCTTATCTGGGCCATTAACTCCATACGGTCCAAGAAAGCTGGCACACTACCTTTAAGGGAAGATATCTTCTTTTATCTTCTTTAATTTCCGTATCAGATTCGTTAGACCGTAGACACATTGGGAGTGTCATGTTTGTAGTACTGTTTCAGAGCGAGGGCTGTGTGTGTGTGTGGGGGGGGGGGGACACAACTGCCACTGGTACTCCCGCCTCACGCTGTGTCTGCCGGCAGGTACAAACTCGTGGTGGTCGGCGGCGGCTCTGGGGGCTGCAGCGTGGCCGCCAAGTTCACCAGGAAGCTCGGCAAAGGACAGGTGGCTGTCATCGAGCCGGCAGAGGTGAGCTCACCACAGCCGACCAGACCTGACCCGACCGAGCCGACCTCACCTGACCTTACCGACACGCCCAGCTGCACAGTGACACAGCCCACCCGACCTCACCTGACCTTACCGACACGCCCAGCTGCACAGTGACACAGCCCACCCGACCTCACCTGACCTTACCGACACGCCCAGCTGCACAGTGACACAGCCCACCCGACCTGACCTGACTCGGCTGAAGCCGACCACACAGTGCACATTGATGGAACCCACGTGACCTGACCGAGTGGACCTGACCTGACATAACCTAGGCGACCTGACCTGAGCGGACCTGACCTGACCTGACCAGACCGAACCGACCTTACCTGACCTGATCCAGCTCGAGTCAATCGCTCAGTACAATTGGCACCACTCACCCGAACTAACCGAGCTGACATGACCAGACGGAATCGACCTGACCTGACCTGACCGAGCTGACCCGAACTGACCCGACCCGACCTTACCTGGCATGACCTGAGTCGACCTCACCCGACTCCTACCAAATCGACTATGCAATATACAATATACACACATTACATAGTATAACGATTCCAGGGCGGGATGGTGTGTATGAGTGTGTTTAGGGTGTCGGGTGTGTGTGTATAGTTCGGGTGGGGGGAGGGGGGGGGGGCTCGGCAGGGAGCGGGGCGGACGGTAGGGGACGGTGGAGACGCGACTGCGCCGCCCGTTCTTAGGTAACTACATAGCTCTCTCACGATGTGAAGTAGGATCATCCATTACTTGTCAGTCGGGTCCCTCTGACAAATCCCTCTAATTAATGTCCCTCTAACAAATCCTCGGGACGAATCAGTCCTCCACCAAATCCAACCCCTTGTTCCGGGACATGGTGGCAGCCCAAAGCGATGGCCTTGTCACTTTAACACGCGCAGTGGAAGGGTTGCCAGTACTACGCCCAGTGGAAGGGGGGGGCGGATGTCGCCCCCCCTAAGATCTCAGCTCCCACTGGAGCTAGAAAGACGAAATTTGGAGGGTAGGTGGAGGCTATGGGGAACTCTGTTGTGTGTGAATTTCATGACCCTAGGTCAATATCTTCAAGGTCAAATGAGGTCAAATGTGGTCAAATCTGCCATATTAGCGACTTTTTTGCGTTTACACGCCGATAACTCAAAAAGTTACCGGCTGATTTTCTTTTTTCTTTCACTATACGAAAGACCAAACATTTGTGAGTATGTAACGTGAATTTCTAGTTAATCCAACAATAAATATGGCAGTTAGAAGCCTGCTAAGGGTAAGATGTCGCCGGCTGAAGCGGGATCGGCTGGCGCGGGAAACGCGGCAATCACAATTTTGTGTTTACACACTCAGTCATAACTCAAGTTGTTACCGGCCGATTTTCAAAATTCTTTGACCATATCATTCCCTGTACATTTCTCAGTCTTCTCACCAAATTTGACGCGAATCTAATATAATCAGCGGTAAGGAGCGCGATGTAAAGACGGAACCGTCCCGCCCCGGCACAGTCTACAATTCAGGCGGCGCGTAACGGCTAGCGCCGGCCGCCGCGCCGCCGCGCCGCCGCGGCGGCAGGATGTCTGACTTTACATCGCTCTTACTAGAAAAGTTGTGAACCGATTTTCTTATTTCTTGCACGAGAAGATCCGCAGTTCAATTCTGGGCAGGTAGCCGAAATTTCACATTGGTGTTATGCTTGCGGCGCGAGTTATTGGCGAAAAACAGGAGGGGTGGGCGAAATCCGCCCCCCCCCCCTTCCACTGCGCGTGTTAAAACCCAATAGCCATCCCCGAAATTATTATCCCGTGGTAGACCCCAAAAGGCACAGTGGCGCTATAATGGGAAGCAGTCACAGTCAGACAGGGATAGTTCCGATGAGGTGCAAATGTGCTGAGTCACGGATATGAGCACTGGCTCATGTTTGCACAACATTCCGGTGAATCGCAGACAACGTCACTCGACCGGCTTCGCCGCATCGGCACAGAGATACGCCTTCCGAGATTCGCCCGTGGCAGACCTTGACGTGGCTGGTCTGTCAGTGGGTACTGCATGAACGGCGCAGAACAGACCGGTACAGATTAGAACGGCACAGAACAGTGTAGAACAGAACAGAGATGCACAGAACAGACCGGTAGGTACTTACAGAACAGACCGATACCGAACAGACCTGTACGGAACAGACGGGTACAGAGCAGACCGGATACCTACCTACAGAGAGACCAGTCTACCTAAGGAACAGACCGGTGCAAATTATTGTTCAATTTAATTCAAGTTTATTTTATTTTGAAGAGTTTTAAGAAATAACCTGTTTCATGGAGTTTTGAACTGAAATAGCAGTTTTGTAGCTTGAGCTGAGATAAGCACAAATCAGAAGCTTTAAGGCAGCCCAATGATCACCCTATGGTAAAGATATTCCATTTCTGGTTCCGAAACCATTCCATAAGAACTTTTCCCTTACGAAAGAATGCCAAGAATAGCCTCTGCCACCTGTGGCAGAGGCTAAACGTCAGCCAATCAGTCGGAAGCGGGACTAGGTTTTTTAGGTAATTAATGCCTGTGATTAGTCATTGCGTAATCAGCTTCCGCTGCAAACACTATGTGGCCTCTGCCAAAAAAAGAAAACAGTTCTTCCTATTAAAAAAAACACATTTTAAGAAATTCCCATTGTTTTTTATTTTTTATTTATTCCTCGTCCTCCACACGGGATATGTTTTTCCCATTTATGGGAGGGCTCCTGCTCCTCCTCAGGGCTACGGTGCAAGGCGGGAGCCCACCCCACCCCCCAGTGACACAGTTGGGGACGCCAGTCCGGAAGCCGGGCGGCACCGGGGATCGAACCCGGGTCCTCCCGACCACAGAACCGACGCCTTACCAACTGCGCCACTGGAGCCGCAATTGTAAATATTCATTTCCTTTCTGATCGTTTTAAGCATACCAACTCTTAGAATGTGGCAAAAACTATAATATTGAGGGAAGTGATATATTCCCCTTGCATGCCTAATATAAATCCGCAGTTAAATTATTTCCAGAACTTGTCAGCCGTAGTAAATAAATTGGGTAAACCAGCATTTTGAAAGACTGGATGATTACGGAGCGAGCGAAGCGAGCGTAGTCTTTCCTTAGATTAACGGAAATTTCTGAGTATGAGCGGCCGGCCGGCCGGCCGGCCGGCCGTGGTCACGCTTTTGCGACGCTTATATCTCAGCAACCACTTGACCGATTTACATGCGGTAATTTTTGTAGGGTAGCTTCATTCCTTCTACCAAGTATTGGACTATTCCCGATGCATGTGGGTGACCCCTTATGCACGTGCCACGTGCAAAACGAAGAGGTGTCACTTTTGTAATTGTTGCAATATCTCGGTAACTACTTGGCCGATTGCGCTGAAAGTTGGCATGTAGGTAGGCACCCACTAGGCACTGCATATCCATGTGCCAGAGTTGGGGTGCTGCTGCACGTGCGCACGTGCAGGGGTCGTTTCCAGATCTCGAGAACGGCTGGACCGATGGCGCTCAAATTTGGTACACGGTTAGGGACCAGTTAGTAGGGTGCCGTGCACAAGTCAGTTGGGACCCATTTAGCACGTGCGCACGTGCAGGGTGCCGCTCCCAGATCTCGAGAACGGCTGGGCCGATTGTGCTCAAATTTGGCACATCGCTAGAGACCGGTTGGTAGGGTGCCGTGCACAAATCAGCTGGAGGTACCCCCTCGAAATTTCGCACGTGCAAGGCTCACCCTCTCGCTCGCTCCGTTAGTCGCCCCAAAAGGCGTTATACTGGTGTAATGTAGGTAGGGGTACACTGCCCACCAACTGGCCGGAAGTCGCGCGGCCCTCGCGTCGGTGCTCCGCTGTGCTATAGCACAGCGGAGTAACGTATACCTATATAAAGGTAGGTAAGTACGTATACCTACCTATAGAGTAGGTATACGTCATCAGCGCCGCGTCACGTCACGCGGTGGACATGCGACGAGAAGTGACGACAGCGGGGTAGGTAACTACGACGAGAAGTGACGACAGCTCGGGATAACTGGAAGACTGCCAACACGGTCACCACAGATAACACTGCAGCGACTCGAGATCTCAGCTGCTCCAGAGTTGCGACACGCTGCAGCGAGGCGAGACGTAGTTTCCTTGGCGGCTGTCGCTGAATCGACGACCACAAATATGGGCATTATTTTTTATGTAACGGAAGTTAGCAGGGATTCAGCAGGGGTTCAGCAGGGATTCAGCAGGGATCGACGGCCCCTACGATTTCGCTGAATTTTGGTGGAGAGGTGCAGAATGGTGTCCTCTATCGAAAATCCTTGTGCCAAAATGCGGGGAATCCATCAGGGGGGCCACAAATCCCAAAAAACAGTATGCCCTCAGGGCACAATCGACGAACTTTGAAAACCCTACTTCTAGCCGTCAAAACAGCTAAAAATGCACGTCATTCGAAAGAGGACAAAATTTTACGTACAACGGTACCAAATTTAGGGGGCTAGCGCCCCCCTGAACCGAACAAAACAGCTTCAAATATATGGGCCCGGGAGTATGCCCTCGGGGCATAAACAAACGTTTTCAACAATTTCAGGCCTATAACATCGACGAAATCCAGCAATATGCACATCATTGGAAAGAGCGTAATTTCCCAAACAAAAAACCCAAGTAACATTTTTCGATGGGGCCCACCTGGGGCCCACAGGACCCAATTGAAATTTGGGGCCCAATGGGGCGGCCCCTACGATTTTCTTCAAAATTGGCACAGACACTCTCCTGGGCCCCCTCTTTAATCTGGCTGAAGAAACCTACCGGGGAATCCAAAGGAAGGGGCCCAAAGAGGGCCCCAAAGAGGCCCTTTCTAAGTATTGCCCATAATTTCGCGACCAACCCCGGCAATATGCACATCATTGGAAAGAGCGTAATTTCCCAAACAAAAAACCCAAGTAACATTTTTCGATGGGGCCCACCTGGGGCCCACAGGACCCAATTGAAATTTGGGGCCCAATGGGGCGGCCCCTACGAT